GGGGGGGGGGGGGGGGGAGGATGTTCTGGGAGACAGAAGCAACCTTGGATTTCTGTCCTTGGAAGGGAAGACCTTATTGCTAAGACATCTTCTCTAGATCAATCCAGGATGTATGAAAGAAGATGGGTATGGCCAGTGGCTCTGAGGCTTGCTCCTTCTCTCTGCTCAGACTGCTTGGTTCCTGAAATTTTCTGGCATTGTGTTCTCTGATGTGGTTTATCTTAGGTAGATGAAATTGTTTCCAGGTCCAGGGCTAGTTTGAGGCCTGGAATGTGGTTTGTTATCAGGTCTCTGGTTTGCTCTTTGGGGCTGCTGCTCCTAGGGGGAAAGTGTCTTCCTGCCTGCAAGCTCCTTCTCCTGCCCCTCCCTCCTCAGCTGCAAGCTCAGGCCCTCCCTCCCAGGAGAAATCCATTTGTCTTCCCAGGGAGGGAGTGGACAAGCAGCTGAGAGGTGGCAGGGGTGGTGGAAGCCAGTGTTGAGGCTGCTGCTCCTAGCACTACAATACTCAAAACGCTTCCAACCTGGTCTTGGTCCCCCTAAAACTCCAGGGCAGTATTTTTTTTGGGTTATCACCTCCTCGTTTTGGGTGCAGTTGGGCTGGAGTAAGGTGCCAAGATCCCCACTTCCATTCTTTGTTCACTGGGGGTGTTTTGCCCAGAAGCCAGTCCCCTAAGCAAGGCAGACTGGAGCTTCCTTCTCCCTCCCTCTCTCCTCTAACAGAGGCTGGGTGGAGTGTTCAAATAAGTCCGACCCTTCTTGTGGGGTGCGGGGGGAAAACTTACCAGTTGATCCTAGTCTCATTAAACTTCTTCATCGCCTTTGAGTCGAGATGAGATGATGGGCTAGACTGGAGGGGAGAGGGTAGGCAGAGTAAATTGAATCTCAGAAGGCAGATGGAGGTTTCAGGTGCGACTAATAGGTAGGCCTGGGGCCGATGTGAGTTCACCTTTGGAATTTCACCTCTCAAACGCCCCTTCCCTACCCCAGCCAGGACTGAAGGCGGAGGGAGGGATGGAGGAAAACGGAACCAGGGAAGCACCCCTCTCCGGTCCTGGGGATCCTCACCCCGTTCACTCAGCCCTCCTTTTCTCTCCTTCCCTGCCCAGGAGAGAGCTGCGAGGACAAGAGCCCGCCAGGCCCGGCATCCAAGCGGGTGCGCACCGCGTACACCAGTGCGCAGCTGGTGGAGCTGGAAAAGGAGTTCCACTTCAACCGCTACCTGTGCCGACCGCGCCGCGTGGAGATGGCCAACCTGCTGAACCTCACCGAGCGCCAGATCAAGATCTGGTTCCAGAACCGGCGTATGAAGTACAAGAAGGACCAGAAGGCCAAAGGCATCCTACACTCGCCGGCCGGCAAAAAAATTGAGCTATGAAAAAGCTACGTGCAGAAAAAAAAAAAAAAAAAACACCTTGATTATTTGGTTGCACACCTAAGCTTTTTCTCTAGGAAATGCTGTCATGAATTTTTCCTTTGTAGTACTTCGCCAGCGCCAACCTGCAGGGCAGCCCCGTGTACGTGGGCGGCAACTTCGTCGACTCCATGGCTCCCGCCTCCGGGCCGGTCTTCAACCTGGGCCACCTCTCGCACCCGTCGTCGGCCAGCGTGGACTACAGTTGCGCCGCGCAGATTCCCGGCAACCACCACCATGGACCGTGCGACCCTCATCCCACCTACACAGACCTCTCGGCCCACCACTCGTCTCAGGGACGCCTGCCCGAGGCCCCCAAACTGACACATCTGTAGCCGCCGCCGGCCCGAACTCGCGGCGCAATTACCTCTCTTGCTTTGGTGGTGGGGGTGGCGGGCGGGGCCTGCGGGGCAGCCCGGGGACCCCCTCCCCCGCTCTGGCCGGGCTGCTGTCTTCAGGGTCTCGGGCCTTCAGCGGCGGAGGCGCAGGCGACCCGGCCTCCCCTCCCGGCGCGCCCCCCCCTGGGCGGGCCGCCCCACA